TCCAAAGCTCTGAAAGATACTGGATTGCTTTGCCTTGGTCTTCATGCTGCTAATCTGCTATTACAAAGGGTGCCTGTTTCTATAGTTGCTGGTTGTTCTCTGTGGTTTTATTTGTTATGGAATGTTGTTAAAGGCAGTACAATCCTGCTTGCTTTTGTGCATGGCTCTTTCAAGAGAGTACATAGTAGAGTACATAGTACATCAGTGTACTATGAAACCTCTTGTTTGTATAACCGTTACCTGGTTATCAAAAGCAACATTTTTGAACCAAAGTACTCAAATAGGCTATCTTGCAGAATGCAAAAATCCAAGGGGCTCACAGATTTTGGCCATGTGATTTGTATTTTCAACTGGTTCTGTGACAGTTTCCAAGCCAGTCTTGCAATCCCTCCCTCCTCTACCCAGCAGCAGCCACTTAACTGCAAGAAAAGGAAGGGGAGGAATAGGGAATAACAGGGAGGAAGGAAATCCCACACACTCTTTCTGGTCCACATTGCCCCTCTGTAATCTCCCAGACCTGTGCCACCTCCCACACTCCATCCCTGACATACACACCCATCACACATTCCCAAGCATGCCTTTTCCAACTCCCGTGATATCTCTTGCACACACCCTTCCTGTCCACATGGCATCTATGACAGCCTCCTTGACCCCCACATAGCCTTCCTGACCCTGACAACCAGCTGCCTGCACAATCTACCCTGACTTGCACTGCTTCTGTCGTGCACTCTTCTTGACCCACAATACTTCTCACCCTCCCTGGCATATCCTTCTCAACCTGCAGCCCCCATACATCCTCACTTCATCCCCCACCTGGCAGAGGGAGGGAGAGGGATAATGACAGGACAGGGTGGGAGTGTATTGGACAACTGAAGGCAGCATGTGTGTTTTCTTCTGTTTCCCCCCCACACCCCAATATAATCTTGTGAGTTGGGTAGAGCTGAGAGGGAGCAACTGGCCTCAAATCATCATGCTGGCTTTGATGCCTAAGGGATGACTAGGATTTGTGGTCTTCTGGCCTCTAAGCCAGCCCCTCAAAGTGACTCTCCCCTTCATTACTCATAAACATTTTTCTTTTAAATACAGTTGTTAGTTGCGCAAAGTAGTCCGACATCCCGAACAATTTCCTTTTGTTCTTGCCAACCGTCATTTCCTTGACCTTGACTGTTCTGATGAGGAAGTGCCATCTGGTGGAGGCATGTTGGGACTCACCCACATTTCCGTTTGTGTCTTCTGATTTCTTGGAAAAAAGCACCACACCCACAAGTTAATCAGCTGCTGCCAGAAACTCAGTTAAACCAACCTTATATTCCTTCCTTCTCTTTTTAACCATCTTGACCTTTAATCCTTTCAAGTAATCAGAGTCACTTAGGAAAGATGAGCAATGTAGGAATTTGATAAATAGAATAAATGTCTTAAAAGCTGGTTTTATTTTTTACTTTTATCCCTTCTTACAAAATTCTTCAAAGGTTTAACAAATCTCTTTTGTAAATCCAATATAGGAAAGTTATCCAGATCACTCTTTTGCTTTATTTGTATACCCTTTTCATTATTAAGACAAAAGTCATTTTCAGTTGTATATCCAGTGTAGCATCTTTTTCCATTGTCATTCTTATAGCCTTTCCGTTTAAAATCCACTTTCAGATCTGTCTGTGGTGCTTAGTGAAACTTGTTCCTCTTCCATAACATCTTTTAAACATAGTCTATCATGGCAGACACTTTTAAAATTAATTTGAGTTCATTGTTCAAAAATATATCTCAATAGGTTCAATATTAAGGTGTTTTGCTTCATTATATATTAATAAGTAAAATTTTGAGTGTTTTTCTCCTTTAATTGCACTGAAATCTTTAGTTCCTCTGGTTCCCCAGGGACCGGTTACATGGAGCAGGGCTTTTCAACCAGTGGTACAGGTACCACCTGTGGTACATTGGCACCTGGCAGGTGGTACGCGACCATCCTAGAAAAGTGGTAGCGGGGGAGGGGAATGAGCTGAACCGGTGGCAGCACCGCACAGGCCTGAGCGACAGATGGCTGGAGCTGCAGGGCTGTCAGGCTCAGTGGAAGCGCCAGGATCAGCACTTCTTCGGGACTGTCAGGGCTCAGCGGAAGCGCCAGGATCAGCACCAGGCTCCAGCTGGAGCTCGGCGCTGATCCTGGCGCTTCTGCTGAGCCCAGAAGTGCCGATCAGCTGGAATGTTGCAGCATCTCCAGGGTCTTGTGATTTACATTCAGATGCTTGGCAACTGATTCATATTTATGATGGTCAGAGTGTCCCAGGGTCATGTGAAGTGACCAAAAGCTGCTGCAACCACCCAGCAGACGGAGGGAATAAAAACCAAACACCCCCCACCCCACCCCAGCTGCCAATCCTCAACAGAAATGCTCACAACAATGAAAACCTCGGACAGGAGGAAGAGTGCAGCCGGGCGGGCAGGCAGGTGTCTTGCTTGGCTGTGGCTTGGGGGGCACTTTTTTCAGTGCCATTGTAGCTTCGAACAGTCACTAAGCGAGCTGTTGTAAGTCGAGGACTACCTGTACTTCATCACTTTTTTCCTTTTGGGGGGGGTCATCAAGTTTTTGACACCTTGCTAGGCGACTGGTGGTACTCAGATATTGCCATATCCTAAAAGTGGTACAATGGGTGAAAAGGTTGAAAAGCCCTGACATGGAGAGAGGTTTTTCCGCAGATGGGGGGGGGGGAAAGGGGGACATGGTTTTGCGTGCTGCCTGCATCCTGCGGGTGGGGCTTTGCTTGTTTGTGCGGACCGGTTGCTGGCATGCCGTGGCCCACTACCGGTCCACGGACTGGGGGCGTTGGGGACCCCTGCTCTAATGTCCAGTCTTCAAAGTTCCATCTTTTTTTTTTTTTAAGAATTAAAAATAGAAGCATTTTCCCACAGGAAGAATTATTATAATTAATCCCAAAATCTTATTTCAAATTCATCTGGACCTCTAGTCAATTTGTTAACTTTTCAAAATTAAAAGTTCTGATCACTCTTTTGCTGCTTATTCCAAAATAATGTAATTCTACAATCCTTGCACTTGTATTTAAAACTTTTGCTAAGGAGGAAGAAAATTCACCTGGTGTTGTAAAACTTGCTGATCCACGGTTCCTAATAGCTGAGAAGCAATTAACAAGCTCTTTCTGAAAGTGATTAGAAAAGGAAGGATGCAAACCTTAGAAAAGGTGTCAATTGTGGTTTGAGGGAAGATGGCTACGTTGCTTCATGTTCCAGAGCTCTAAAATGGCAAATTGAACGGAGCCAAATGGCAGGATAAAGAATGGACAAATAGAGGACTTAAAAACTATAGCTAGAAGCTATATAGATGGGACCACTCTAAAGCCAACAAGGAATTGACAAATCACAATACAGGCAGTCCTCAACTTACAACAGCTCATTTAGTGACCGTTCAAAGTTACAACAGCATTGAAAAAAGTGACTTATGACCACACTTACAACCATTGTAGCATCCCCATGGTCATGTGACCAAAATTCAGGCGCCTGGCAACTGATTCATACTTTTTTTTTTTTTTCATAATTTATATGCCGCCCTTCTCCCCACGGGACTCAGGGCGGCTCACAGCATATTAAAATAACACAATACAAACAACACACACAACATTTCCCCTATAAAAGCCAATTAAAACCAAATATTTGTAGCTGTGACATTATTAAAATCATTAAAAATTATCCCTATTTAAAATTCACCCTAGGTCAGNGAGCCCCATGTATAGAGCATTACAGTAGTCCAGGCGGGAGGTGACGAGGGCCTGAGTGACTGTGCGCAGAGCATCCCGGTCCAGAAAAGGGCGCAACTGGTAGATCAGGCGAACCTGATAAAATGCCCCCCTGGTCACGGCCGACAAATGGTCTTCCAGTGTCAGCCGCGGATCCAGGAGGACACCCAAGTTGCGAGCCGTGTTCTGGGGTCATGTGATCATTTTTTGGCGGCCATTTGACAAGCAAAGTCAATGGGGGAGCCAGGTTTACTTAACAACCGTATTACTAGCTTTTCAACTGCAGTGATTTACTTAACAATTCTGACACGAAAGTTCATAAAATGAGTGGGAGGGGGACACTTAACAAATGAATCGTTTAGCATCAGAAATTCTGGGCTCAATTGTGGTCATAAGTCGAAGACTACCTGTTTCCAGAATGGCAAGCAATGGAAAAGGAAAAATGGGATACTATTTTGAGTCAGCCTTCTTCATTTTTATACTTTGCAAACGTGTTTGACTTTAAATCCCGCAATTATTAGCTGGCAGGAAAACTTAAGATTGGTGAAACAAGCCATAAGCAAAATCAACTTGAGCTCCAGATACAATTTGCAATTGTGACCTCAAGGTCATTCCCATATACCATTACATGATTTGAAAGGCTATTTCCCTATTATAAATAACCAAGGATTCTTGGCTTGTGCATATAATCTATTGATATGAGCAAACCAACCTCTCAGTAAGGGAATTATAGCATTGGGAGGGCCTCAAAGATCATCTTGATCAGGCCTTTGCAACTTGAAGGAAAACTAATTAAACTCCTCTTAAGAAGTAGCTGTCCAGCTCTTACATCATGACGACTTTCCTTCAGAAGTTCAGCGTTAACAGCTGGCTGCAGTGCAATAAATCAGTCCCAAAACTGGACACTATTCGTGTATGTCCAGTTTTGGGACAAGAATAGGAAAGGGGTGATATATGCCAGTCTGTTGATTCTTCAACACTGACAAATAAACCATAATATATGGGTTTTTTTATGGGTGAAGATGGCGGGAATAATCAAGATACCGAATTCAAGGTTGTGCCATTCTACCCTGACAGACCAGCCTTTCTGAGAGTGATCTACTTCCAGATCAAGATCTATCCACTCCCCTGTATTTTAAAGATCAAACATCTAAAAAAAGAATATTTAGCAAACAAGTAAAAAAGATAATTAGAAGTCTTTTTTTAACTTAAGATAGTTTAATTATTTCTTAAATAAAAAACCTCACATTTATTTATTTATACTTTTTATATACAAATAAGTAGAAAAAGGGAATGGGAGAGTGGATTAGGTGGTGGAACAAATTGCTTCATTGCTAGTTCTTCACTAGATGCATAAAGGACCAACTGGGGGAATGAAGTGGTCAAAAGAAAAGATCTTCCTGTATTTGTGCAAAATATGCTGGGATTGTCAATGTTCGGTCTGAAGAGCAAATAAGGGCAAATTCAAGCTGGATGAAACAGCTCTTTGGATTTCCATGCTGCCGCACTGTCACAATTCCATCCTATCCTAGCTTGTTCCTTCAGAGGTCTCAGTTCACCACAGCCACTGGTTCTCCTTCCTCAAGATACTGGTGGTCTTTGGAATTCACCCCGGTTAGTCCTGAAATTGAAACATCATATGCAGGAGAAATGCAATTCATTCATTCAATTCATAATGTTGAGTCTGACATTTCTGTTGCTGTGAGTTAAGTGAATTTTGCCCCATTTTACGACCTTTCTTGCCACAAATTGTTAAGTGAATCACGGCAGTTGTTAATAACATGGTTGTTAAGTGAATCTGGCTTCCCCATTGACTTTGCTTGTCATAAGTTCGCAAAAGATAATCACATGATCCCGGGAAAACTGCAACTGTCATAAATATGAGTCAGTTTCGAAATGTCTGAATGTTGATTACATGACCTTGGGGTTGCTGCGATGGTTGTAAGTGTGAAAAACGGTCATAAATCATTTTTTTTCACCGTTGTAATTTCAAATGGGTCACTAAATGAACGGTTGTAACTTGAGGACTACCTGTAAACTCTCGCCCGTTACATCTTTCGCTTTAATGGGTGTCTGCTGTTTAAATGGACAGCCGGACTTCTGAAATTATTTCCAAATACTTTACAACAGTGATCTCCAATCGTTCCGGCTTTGTGGATCAGCAGGTGTGTGTGTGTGGGGGGGAGGGGGGGGCGAAAGGGGATGGTTCCTCCTGAGCGGCAGCGGGTGAGCATGTATGCATGTGCAGCTCCCTATGCGCAAGTGACAGGCACGCTTGCCCACCGCTCGGACAAATGGAGCTGTGCGCATGCACTCGTCCACCTGCTCTGGGTGCAAGTGCAACTGCGCATGTGCTCAGCTGCTGCTTCCGTGACTCGGTTCTGAATGGGCCACGGCCTGGTAGTGAGTCATGCCCGGGGGTTGAGAACCCCTTGCTTTACAAGCAGGGACTGTAAGAGGCATCTGGATTTTCCATTTGTGTGTGTGTATGTGCGTGCACATTCAAGTATGCAATGTTACATCAGGGGTCGTGTGATTGGGAGAAAGAATGGAGCAGTTGCAAACATTATGAGCCACTGCCGTAGGCATGCCCTGAGGGAACTGGAAAGAATTTCTTTTCTTCTCAATGGATCTGGCCTATTTTTAACTCAGCCTTTCTTTTGCTAACTTCTCTCCCCCCACCATACTAAATTTGATCTCATTCTGGTCATGATTAAGAGTCATCACCTTGATAAACAAAGTCTCCGCCATGTTTACAGGATGTCCTTCCAGCTGGATGGAAAATGAAAACAGTGAAGAGAAGTGGGAGAGAACCCACGTCCCTGTGGCATCTCCCCAGAGTTCAAACCTTTCCAGAAAGGTGAAAATCATCACTGAAGGGAAAAGGTTGTCCTTCATTTACGACCGTTCATTTAGTGACCATTCTAAGTTATAATGGCACGAGAAATGTGGCTTATGACCGGTCCTCACACTTACCACCCTCACAGTATCTCAGTGTCACATGATCAAAATTCGGGCATGTATTTATGAGAGTTGCAGCATCCCAGGGTCATGTGATTGCTGTTTGTGACATTCCCAGCTAGCTTCCGACAAGCAACGTCAATAGGGAAGCCAGATTCATTTAATGACTACACAATTCACTTAACAGCTGGAAAAATAGGTCATAAAATCGGATATAACTCACTTAGCAACAAGAATTCTGGTCGCAACTGTGGTTGTAAGTCAAGGACTATCTATGGTTACATCTGCACTTCTCTGCTTCCGTCTCTTCTGTCTTTCCCACCACCCTATTTTTCCATCCCAGCAAATCCTACTTACGGGAACGGATGGCGATTGGCCAGATCATGATGCTGGCTAGGAACAGTGCAGCCACCATTGCCGTGCCCCCAGTAACCGAGACCATTACCCAATGGTAGAAGTTCACACAGCCGTTGCAACAGAGCTGAGTCCTGGAGTTTGTGAAGGGTGGGGATGGAGACGACAATAGAGGGGAAAAAAATGTAAGATGAAGATAAATATTAGGTTGCGCACACTGCTCTTACACATGGAGGCTCTCTCTTCAGAACCCCTGGTTAAGCTAAGCTGGCAATTCCACAGGAGAACAAAAAAAAACCCTTGTAGGATCAAAACAAAAAAATGGATGGAGTTACACTTCTTATTGGTGCCATTTCAAGAGTCTTGCTGAGTCTATTACCAATGCCGTTCCTGTAACAATCACTGTTACTGTACACTCTATGGTAGACTGCGTTGGTACATGGAGGATTCCCCCTCAGCTATGGTATCTCCAACACTCCCTCTTGAAATTTCCCTCTCCAAAAGGTCTCAATCCAGATATTAAAGGTTATGATATAATATGATTTGCGAGCATAACGTAGGTAGTAATGCAATATGAAAATAGAATTATGGGTTGATCAACCATAGTTTCCACTTCTAATATACCTGTACAGCGTCCATATATCAGTATTTGATTTCAGGTTTGCCTTCATGCATAAACTTAAGCATAACGGTTTGCAACTGTACTGGACGGCCTAATGTGTACTACAGCCAATTATGGTTTATTAAATAAACTATGCTTAAGCAAATTGTGGTTTAAGACAAGATGTAAAGTATTTAATGGGCAATACATGCTGAGTCCAACATCATTTGAATGGGCTTAAAAAAAACCCAGCCTGTTCTGACAAGCAGAAACATTTCTCCAAAAAGCACCCTCCATTTTCGCTGATGTGGCAAAGGGCACCCTTCAAGTCACTGATGTGCCCTCTCACCAAACTTCTTTTCACGAACACCGCAGTCTCCATAGCCCACCCTTCACTTACGGACATGGATGCAGGTCCTGGATAATCATCACCGACAATCCGTTGGCGACTTTATCAGTGAAGCTCATGGCCCCGTAGACGAATGCGCCGCTGTGCTATCGGAGAAAATGAGCCACAGATGGGTCAGGACCACCTGAGTGGCTGCCAGGTCTCACCCTGGACAGGAAGCAAAAATTTGAAACAAAACGAAGAGGCAAACCTCAAAATAGTTCTACAGTATAGTACCATTCTGAGGCTTGTATTCTTTTGTTTTTCTTTTCTCTCCCCCCTCTCCCCTCTTTTTAGCATTTCAGGAGGATCTTTGCCCTATAGCAGGAGTAGGCAACCTTGGCTCTTTTATGACTCGTGGACTTCAACTCCCAGAATTCCTGAGCCAGCCATGCTGAGGGGAAAGGGAGAGGTTTCCAAGCTGAGCCATGCTGGCTCAGGAATTCTGGGAGTTGAAGTCCACGAGTCATAAAAGAGCCAAGGTTGCCTACCCCTGCCCTATAGCAATGTTTCTCAACCTCGGCAGCTTTAAGACGTGTGGACTTCAACTCCCAGAATTCCCCAGCCAGCATGAGATAAACCATTTATCTCTCAGCTTCTCCAAAAGTGCCTTCTGCCCTTCATTTTTCCCTTCCCATAAAAACAAGTAAACAAGTGGCCTTATGTACTTCTAAAAACAAACAAAGCATTATATTATGGCACCCTAAGGCTCGACGCACACATTTTGCCTTTTAGTCCCCGTAAACGTTTTAGTCAGAAGCGGGGATTGTGCAAAAATGCTGCAAATGATATACAGGCCGCGAGCCACACCTAATTCAAGACGGTGACGACAATGGTGTGACTGAAGTCCCGCCTCCTTTTCACATGCATAAAAAGAGGAGGGGCTTTGATCTTGTCATTATGGCTGCCATCTTGAATCTCTCACCTCTCAGGATCCTTGGCCACATCTTTGGCATTGTCCCCTTGAAGGTACTTTGGGAGCACCAAATGAGTCACTCTTGTCTACGATTCAGAAATCCCATATTGCTTATTTAAGATCCCCCCCCTGCTTTTTTAAGGATTAGCACTGAATTTTCACCCAGTTCCTAAAGCAGGACTGACTCCATCTTTTACACAAGGTACTTCATACCGTGTGGGGTCCGATGAGATCAGCTGTCATGGAGAGGGATGTTACCAGGATGGTGGCCGACCCGGTCCCAAGCAGAACAGCAGCCCCGTACACCTCTATGCCCATTTGCTCAGCTAGGGCCACCCAGGAGGCAAAGGCCATGATAACCAGCAGTCCCAGAAAGTAGGTGAGCTAACATGAAAAAAGAAAATTATTTTCACTTCTAAAGCATGGATGCATTAATTACTACTACACAAAGTATTTATTCAATATCTATGGAGGTTCTCAGTCATCCAGGTCTGGGTTGTCCCATAGGTGCTTTTTAAAAAGGCAACTGGATTGTCTTGACTTTTCTTTTTCTTGAAGACTTCTCTTTCAAGTAGCTTCTTCAGTTGTAACTAACCAGTGGGGAATAATAATAATAATAATAATAATAATAATAATAATAATAATAATAATAATAATAATAATAATGATGATGATGATGATGATGATGATGATGATGATGATGATGATGATGATGATGATAAAGTTGGAAGGGACCCTGGAGGTCATCTAGTCCAACCCCCTGCTCAGGCAGGAAACCCTATACCATTTCGGACAAATGGCTGTCCAGTTTCTTCTTAAAAACTTCCAGTGTTGGCGCATTCACCGCTTCTGGAGGCAGGTTGTTCCACTGGTTAATTGTTCTAACTGTCAGAAAGTTTCTCCTTAGTTCTAGGTTGAAACATTTTCAAGAAAAGAAAAATCAAGGAAATCCAGTTGCCTTTTTTTTTAAAAAAAAAAAACACCTTTGGGATTACCGGTACTTATTCACTAGCATCCCCTAATTCAGTGTTTCTCAACTATGACAACTTGGAAGATGTGTGGACTTCAACTCCCAGAATTCCCCAGCCAGTATGCTGGTTCAGGAATTCTGGAAGCTGAAGTTCACACCTCTTAAATTTGCTGAGGTTGAGAAATAACATTCTAATATCTAAGAATTTCCCCAGGTTTTCTACAGTCAAGTGTTTTGTCTTTTGGACAAAAGCCTACTTCTCGCAAAATGCTGGAGAGCATCATATTGAAAAAGGAAAAGAACACAGAACAAGCAAGAGCTAGAATGAAAAAAGGAAGCAGAAATAAACCCACCATTCTTTTTCAACAGCACAATGACAGCACTTGTAAATGAATATAGCTCATAATACAATTTCTGTAAGCTGCCTGGAGTCATTTTAAGTGAGATGGTGGCCGTATAAAATTTTATAAATAAAATAGGCATCCACAATATAACATAGTTGTCAAGGCATCTATTACACCTGAAAGGGATATTATGTTCTGCAAAAATTAAAGATTTTTTAAAGATCTTTTCTAAAAAGCTCAGATTTCAGGAAAACACCTTATTCTTGCAAAATAAAATCAAGGGGAGATCGACACCTCAAGATAATTTGGGAAACATGGTTTTACAAATCCTATTTGTTTGCTATTCAGGACAGGGTTAGTGCATAAAAATCGGTAACATCGGAAAAGTTGGCTGATTTCTGAGATTAGCTTTCAGCTGGTATCTAAACACCTGTGTGGAAGTGTAGAAGAGGTGGCAGAACCTGGGGGAAGAGTTAAAAGAGGGATCAGCCTAGAATCCCTACATAGCTACAAGCAGACAAAGTTCAACCTCCCTTGAATTCCATGGACCCTTATCTAACTCCAAGCAGATAGTTGAGAAGATTCCTGTGCATAGGCATTTTTTTTTCTTTTAAAGATCCCGTAATCCCTTGCAGAGAGTGGTGAGAATGGCCGAAAAGATCATTGGCAGTTCCCTCCCTCCCATCCAGGACATAGGACAGAAGCGTTGCTTGAGCAGGGTCCGTAAGATTATCTGGGACACTACACATCCTCTTCACGACCTGTTTTCCTTGCTACCTTCTGGGAGAAGGGGGCTCCGTGGTATCCGAAGCAGACCATCCAGATTCAGCCAGAGTTTCATCCCATACAGCATTAACCTTGCGAACTCTCAAGCTTCCTCCTTCCGTTATATATTCAAGATGGACAATATTTAATATGTATTTGCTACGTATATGTAGGGATGTGGGTCTACACATATGTTGTTCATAGTATGTTTAGGTGTGTGTCATGTATGTGTTTCACTTTGAGAGCGGGCAGCTAAATTTCATTTTTGATGTGTGCCATTGTGCCCACAGTATAAAAATGACAATAAAGGTTATCTTATCTTATCTGGGTGGAGTCAGGGTGACAGAATAGAGCTGAGCATTTACTGGCTGGATGCCCTTCCTGACGCTTCTGTGGAGTTCGCAGCAGGTATTTTCTCCCAGGGGGAGAAATATCTGCCCTTACCTAGGATTGAACTCAAAGCCTCCTGATGGTGAGGCGAGAGCGCCACCTCTAGGCCACCCTGCTGCTCATTCCTGTGCATAGACATAATTAGCAATAAATCAGTTTCGTCAGACCTTCACGTATGGCCCTGGCCCTTTGCACCTGACAGGAAGAACTCAATTAGATTTCCTAGTGTGGATAGCCTCAACGATGCAACAGAATTTGCCCTTTCACATATTCCCATAAATTTCAACTTGGATAATGCAATTTCTGCACAGTAAGAGCTGCCTGAGTATGGAAGAGACCTTCCTGGGAGTTAGTGAAGCGGTATCTGAAAGGACACATGGTAGGAAAGCCAAATTTCCTTTTAGGGCTGCCGGGAGTACTCACATTTCGGCCAATCCGTCTGTTCACAGTTTTCATCAAAAAGGAGGAGAGAAAGCCACTAATATACATCACCAGCGGGATTGTGGCAATGTATTTCTGTAAAAAGGTGATAGAAAAGGGAGTAACACCATTTAGGCTCTTCCTTGGGGGAAGAAGATAAGAAAACAAATGCAATCTATTGCTGATTAATTCCTACTATAATTAAGCTCAGAATTAGGGTGATAAGTGATAGCGATCGTTAAACGACCGTGCTCAATTTTACAACCTTTTGTGTGGAGGTCATTAAGCAAACACTGTGATCACTAAGCAAATGCAGCAGTTGTTAAATGAACCCACTTTAGCCAATGGATGTTTTTTTTTTTTTGCCAGAAACTGGAAGTAAATGCCAGTTTCTGACAAAAAAAAAGAAATGCTAAAAATCATGGTCACATGGCCACAGAACACTGCAAACAGCCCTAAATGTTGGTCGGTTGCCAAGCAACCAAAATGCGATCGCATGACCATGGGGGGGGGTTGATCATTGGATCTTTGAAACCTGGTCCTAAGTGACACTGGGGAGGTTTGTTGGAAGGTCAAGTAGCTGCTAAGCAACCAATCATAAGGGGAGGAGTACCTATAATTACAATGCTCAGATAGAATTGGGACACCACAGGTTCAAAAGTTCTACTCAGGCCCAAAGCTTTAGAGCAGGGGTCCTCAACCTAGGCAACTTTAAGACTTGTGGACTTCAACTCCCAGAATTCCTCAGCCAGCAAAGCTGGCTGAGGAATTCTGGGAGTTGAAGTCCACAAGTCTTAAAGTTGCCACGGTTGAGGACCCCTGCTTTAGAGCAATGTTTCTCACCCTTGGCAACTTTAAGATGTGTGGACTTGCTGGGGAATTTTGGGAATTGAAGTCCACACATCTTAAAGTTGCCAAAATTGAGAGCACTACTTTAGAAGATCATTTTTGGCCAGTTACAACAACCGTGTGAATTAAGATAAGCCTCAAGAGAAGCTGAAAAAAAAAGACAAGAGGGTTAAATTTATGTAAAACTGTAGCCATTGTTGGCCTTCTAAATATTACTAATAGTTTCTGCAAATTAAAATTAAATTAAATGACCCATGGCTTAAAAGTGTGTCAGAATGCTGAAATCTCTCATAAGAGCTTTCATATGGAAATGTTTAAACTCTCAAAGTGAGGCTAGTAAAAATCTCACCAAATTAAGTACTATTTGGGGAAGGGGAATCCCAGACTCCTGGATGACACTGAATAAACGACGTCCAATATCCTCTCAAAATAGAACCTTGTATACCGTAATTACTTAATTAGCATAACACTACAGTAGTGCCAAGCGGGAGCAGTTCTGATGTTTGAAATTCATTGGTTTGCACTATTCACTATTTTGTTACTCAGAGCTTCTGAAATCAAGGATGAGGTTTAAATTGACACTAGAGGTTATGTGAACGTGGGGAGACCCAAGCTGCCTTCCTCCAGAAGCACCTGTAGAGTACTGACTACTTCACTTTCCCCAGCTCTGGAGCACTGGAGATGACAGAAGCTGATCTAAAACATACTAACTAGGCCAGTGATGGCAAACCTATGGCACGCGTGCCAGAGGCTGCATTTAGACCAGGGCTTTTCAACCTTTTCACCCATTGTACCACTTTTAGGATAGGGCAACATCCGATTACCACCAGTCACCTAGCAAGGTGTCAAAAACTTGATAACCAAAAAAAAAAAAAAGAAAGAAAAGAAAAAAAGTGATAAAGTTCAGGTAGTCCTCGACTTACAACAGTTCGCTTAGTGACTGTTCGAAGTTACAATGGCACTGAAAAAAGTGCCCCCCAAGCCACAGCCGAGCAAGACACTTGCATGCCCACCCGGCGGCGCTCTTCCTCCTGTTCGAGGTTTTCATTATTGTGAGCATTTCTGTTGAGGATTGGCAGCGGGGGTGGGGTGGGGGGGCGTTTGGTTTTTATTCCCCCCGTCTGCTGGGTGGTTGCAGCAGGTTTTGGTCACTTCACATGACCCTGAGACACTGTGACCGTCATAAATATGAATCAGTTGCCAAGCATCTGAATGTAAATCACAAGACCCTGGAGATGCTGCAACATTCCAGCTGATCGGTGCTTCTCCTGGGCTCAGCTCCAGCCATCTCTCGCTCAGGCTTGTGCGGTGCTGCCACCGGTGCAGGTCATTCCCCCTCCTGCTACCACTTTTCTAGGATGGTCGCGTACCACCTGCCAGGTGCCAATGTACCACAGGTGGTACCCGTACCACTGGTTGAAAAGCCCTGGTTTAGAGCCCTCTCTGTGGGCACACTTGCCGCCGCCTCCAACTCGCGCAGGTCCATTAGGCCACTGCTGGCACCCGGAGCGGCAGCCCCACCCAGCACAAGGGAGGTGAAGCAGCTGGCTAGCAAGCTCAAGTAGAGGTGGTAGAGCAGGCCCCCATGCGCTCGCTGGCCTCTGTGTGCGGGGGCTGATGGTGTCAGGCAGCAGCCACCCCTGCCTTGCCTTGCCCCGCAGCAATGGCACCCCCGCTCTACCCCCTGCCTCACCCCGCAGGACGAGCCTCCTGCCCACCGCCCCACCCACCAGAGACCCCCCTGGATCTCCCCCAATCCTGCCCAGCCCCCACAGGCATCCCCCCCACGAGCAACATCAAGGTGGCCATGCCCACCCCGGCCATGTCCACTCAGTCTGCATGACCATTGCAGCCACGCCCCCCCCCAGTGGCCCACGCCCCCCCTTCCTGAGGGCACCACAATGCTGATGCGGCTCTGGCACTTTGCGATACATAAGTGGGTTTGGGGTTGCGGTTTGGGCACTCGGTCTCTAAAAGGTTCGCCATCACTGAACTAGACAATATAAAACACATTTCCCCCTTCCCAAAGATCACACCTACCTTTGGAAGCATTAGTGAGTTGGTGAGATACATTGCAATGTATGTCTGAGAAAGGTTGACAATGAGACGGGTGGACATGTACAGCATTGCCACCTGGAAGCAGAAAGTGGCATTACAGATGCACATAAGACAATGCAACTATTTCTCTGCTCACATGGTTTCCTTCCTCATTTTAGAATTACATCTAATGTATAAAGCTAACCAATTAAGGAAGATAACATTCTGGGGGATTCCAGAAATACTGTTCCCCTTCATAACATGTAGAATCTCCTCTGGGCTATGTTGCTCCAGAGGGCAATTCCTGGAACTAAAACATCCAAGTCAAAAATGGATTGAGCTGAAAACAATTGTTCCCCCCCCAAAAAAGAAACTTATTTGGAGGCTGGACCAATTCTGGTTTGAATGATTTATTTCCAAAAACTGCTAAAATGCCAAATGAAATGGCACTGTTTGAAAGGGGGACAGAATGTTTTGATATTTGATTTGGCATATATTTACATTTTGTTAATACCACCATGCTAATCCCATCTTCTCCAATATATGCATGCCATCATCCCTCTACAGCAGTGGTCTCCACACTTGGCAACTTCACGACTTGTGGACTTTAACTCCCAGAATTCCTCAGCAAGCCATGTTGGCTGGGAAATTCTGGGAGCTGAAGTCCACAAGTCTTAAAAGTTGTCAAATTTGGAAACCCCTGCTCTATAGTGTGACCAACAGTTATTCTGGCCAGAGATGATGGCCAGTGTATAGTGTAATGTTTTTCAATCTTAGTAACTTTAAGATGGGTGGACTTCAACTCCCAGAAATCCCCAACTATTCTGGGAGTTGAAGTCCATCAATCTTAAATTTTGGAAACTAAGCAAGGAGAGAAGTAACCTAGAACTAAGGAGAAACTTCCTGACAGTTAGAACAATTAACCAGTGGAACATCCTGCCTCCAGAAGCGGTGAATGCACCAACACTGGAAGTTTTCAAGAAGAAACTGGACAGCCATTTGTCCGAAATGGTATAGGGTTTCCTGCCTGAGCAGGGGGTTGGACTAGATGACCTCCAAAGTCCCTTCCAACTTTACTACTACTACTACTACTACTACTACTACTACTACTACTACTACTACTACTACTACTACTACTACTACTACTATTATTATTATTATAAGTACAGTGTTTCTCTGAAAATAAGACCCGGCCTTATTTTTTTTTTTGCCTCCAAAAGAGGCACCAGGGGGTGTCTTTTCCACTTACCTCCGGCACTGACAGCTCTGCCCAGCCGGCCCATGTCTTCTGCGGCCGAAGGAGCAGCTTCATTCTGCAGCTGAGAATGGAACTCCAGCCTGCATTTTGCAGTCAAAGGCCTTTCTGGAAGACCACTGCAGCTAAGAACCGAGCTATGTATTGAATCCATAGCTTGGTTCTTGGTTGCAGTGACCTTCTGGAAAGGCCTTTGACTGCAAAATGCAGGCCTGGGGATGCCGCAGAAGAAGTGCGCTGGTGACGAGAGGCCTGGCTGCAAGGTAAGTGGGTGCAGGGCACATGGGGCAGCTCCAGCTCCCCACCCCCAGCCTGGCTTGATTTTCAGGTGTGTACCATACCCCAAAACTAGGGCTTATTTTGGGGGTAGGTAGGGCTTATATTAGGCCCAACCCCCAAAAAAATCAAGCTAGGGCTTATTTCCAAGGTAGGTCTTACTTTCAAGGAAACACGGTAGCTGAGGTTGAGAAACACTGGTACAATGAATTCATCAAGTGTCACTGAAGGGCACCACCAGGGAAGATTGCTTTGGACCTTTTAGATATCTGCAGGACAAGTCTTCCCAAATTCCTTGATCCTGGAAAAAGAATGAACTACAACGGCGAGAGAAGATGTGATCTTCTGCCCTCCAGACTCACCTGGTAGAAAGCAGGCTCCAGAAACCAGTGTTTCCAAAGAAGGACCGTCCGAATGGGCTTCTTTGGGTTTAGAGGCAACAGGGGACTATGCTCATCTGGATCGGGCAATCTGGAAACTGTCCGTGTCTTTTCTTTGGTCCCAAGATGGAAGAGGAGCGAAGAAATGGAACCCAGCCCTATCACAATCAGGGACAGGTTCTAGAGTGGGGAACAGAGAGCAAATAAGAAAGGTTAGGACGGTAAGACTAAATCTAGGAAGTGGATCTTTTGTGAAGAGGAGGGGGGAAAAGGAAGTTGGCCGTGATGTTCAAAGACTCACGTTGTAAACCAGCAATTGACACGACAAGGAAACAGAGGTCCAGTCTTACACCTCCTGTCCACCATCTTGCCAAACACCCACCTGAAAGACAGGAATGTCATGGCGCCCGAGGTGCTGGGTGAGTTTCTTTGTCTCTGTGGGATCGATCTGGAAGTGCAGGAGGAGCCATGCAACTCCATACACCGTGATGTTGGCCATGACAGTGAAGGCGTACCTGGAAGGAAGGAGACCAAGCAGAGTTTATTAAGCATAGACCACAGCTGGAAAAAGGGGATTGGTTCATATCAGTGCCCATCAGGCCCCCGGCCCCACCCTGGAAATTCAGGTTATTTTCTCTTTTCCCACCATTTGGGTACAGAAGCTCTGGGGAAGTTCCTCCAAACTTCTAAGGAAGAAACTGCCAGTTGGATAACTTTGCTTGCAAAAACGTTATTTGCTGGGTTCCTGCTTTTCCCCAGCTAGTTGGATTCCCTCCATTCCGACTGTCTTTTTTTCAGTTAAGAAACCTAAAGGAAAAACTTATTTAGGACTCTTCGCATCAGCTTCTATAGATAACCCTCCCTTAACAACCACTTGTTTAGCAATCGTTTGAAGTTAGGATGGTGCTGAAAAAAGTGATTTATGACCAGTCCTAAGACTTTAAACTGTTGCCGCATCCTTGTGGTCACGTGATCGTGATCCGGGTTGCTTGGCAACTGGCTCGCAGTTATGACATATGTAGTGTCCTGCAGTCATTTGATTGCCATCGGCGACCTTCCCACCCAGCTTCTGACAAGGGAAGCCAATGGAGAAGCCGGCAGGAGGTTGCAAGTCACAGTATTCCATTTTAAATTTAATTTTAATTTATTAAAAAGTAATTAATTCAATAACTCAGATGTTAATTTCAGTTTACTTAAATAAATAATCACAGTGTTTGAATTATGATGGGTAAGGACAGCTGACCTTCAAAGGATCTCCTAGAACAGGGGTGTCAAACTCAATTTCACTGAGGGTCGCATCAGCATTGCGGTTGCCCTGAGGGGGCCCAGGTGGGTGTGGCCAGAGTGGGTGCAGCCTACTGGGTGGGCGTGGGTGGAGTGGGTGTGGCCTGCTGGGTGGGCGTGGCCAGTACTAACCATTCACATCAAAGGTGCCTATGGGGGCCCCGGGGAGGGACAGATCTGAGGGTCTCTGGCAGAAGGGGGTGGGACCGGGGCAAGTGCCAAGGCATGGTCCACTGGGGCAAGTGCGAAGATGGCCACCACAAAATTGTACATTGGCTCCCGGCTGGCCTGGGCCAGGGCCAAGGCAGAGGGGGCCGTTCCCTCACTGTTTCCAGGATGGCTTCATGGGCCACATGAAACCACTTTGCGGGCCGCATCCGGCCTCCGGGCCTTGTGTTTGACATGTCTGTCCTAGAATCTTGAAAGTCATCCATTGCAGTTTTGATCCCTGAAAGCATTTCTTACAACCTAAGAACTGCCACAGGACCTAAGATTCTGCAGTTGTGTGTTCACTAATCCACACTATTTTTTTTTCTTCCTGGCATTTTCTTGTAGGTACAGGATCTGTGTTTCAGATTTATCAATCAATCAATCAATCAAATTTATTGGCCTCTACAGGGTAACAATGCTGATCCATTGGTGATGACTCGAATTGATCCAGCAGCTTGTTGCCTGAGTCTGATTTCCTGGGCTGAAAGTGACTGGCCCAAAGACACCCAGCTGACAACTTCATGCCTAAAGCAGAACTAGAACTAGAACTCATAGTCTCCTGGTTTCTAGCCTGGTGCCTTAACCACTAGACCAGGGGTAGGCAACCTTGGCTCTTTTATGACTTGTGGACTTCAACTCCCAGAATTCTTGAGTCAGCATGGCTGGTTCAGGAATTCTGGGTATTGAAGTCCACAAATCATAAAAGAGCCAAAGTTGCCTACCCCTGCACTAGACCAAACTGCTGTTCACTAGTACACAATGCCCTTGGAAATTGTGCTCTGCATTGTGCTCGCTAGTTGACAGGGAATTTCTTGGGGTAGATGTCAGTGGGATTGGCCACAACAAGCCAGACATGTTGGCTAAATGGTGTCAACAAGGCTTGAGAGGATGACCCAGAGGAAATGTGATGGAGCCTGGATTAGATTTAACCACTTTCCTATCAGTTCTTACCTGAAAGCTGTGAGCTCCACCTTCTCATGGTCACTAGAGACCAACTCTGGTATGAGCGAGAGGTGAGAGATTTGGGTGGCTGCCCAGCCAAACTGGAAGATGACAATAAATGGGACAAAGTAGATGAGCGCAGCCCACTCAGGTGTTCTCTCCGTGCAGCCGATGCATGGGCTGAAGATGAAGGGGAAGGAAAGCAGAACACAGATGGTCCCTGTGGAGAAAGATGGTCAAAGTACAGATTTGAGTCTACGGAGATTCTCAATCATCCAGGCCATGGTTGTCCCAAAGGTGTTTTTTCCAAAAGGCAACTGGACTTTCTTAGGTTTTTTTCCTTTGAAAATGTTTCACTTCTCATCCAAGAAGCTTCTTTAATTCTCTTAGAACTGTGAGAACTGAACTGTTCTTCAGTTAGAACTGAAATAGCTTCTTGGATGAAAAGTGAAATGTTTTCAAATAAAAAAAAATCAAGGAAATCAAAGTTGCCTTTTGGAAAAAGCACCCTTGGGACAAGCTTGAAAGAGGCAATCTAGGATTGTAATCAGATGAGAGAAACAACAAAGTCTTACTTCATCAAATCCCAGCATGAGGCCTGTTGGACTGGAATAATGTTGTTGTTATTGTCTTTAACCAGATTTTTACAGTAAGAAGCATGGAAGATTGTAAATGGCAGACAAAAATCACCTATACCTCATGTATAACACTTCATTACTGAGGCTATTTAAAATAAATATTAAGTGCTTTAAGCAGCCTCTTGTCCAAATTCCCCTGATTTATAGTTATCTGATTCTTGAAAGTTCGCAATGTGATGTGTTGGGAATAGGACCTTAGAGGTCTTCTAGTCCAGCCCCCTGCTCAAGCAGGAGAACTACCTATTCTATTCTATTCTATTCTATTCTATTCTATTCTATTCTATTCTATTCTATTCTATTCTCTGACTTGGGACTAGTTACTTTGTAAGGCCAACCTACCTCACAGGGTTGTTGGTGGGGTCATACTACAGTACAGATAGTCCTCGCCTTGCAACCACACTTGAGCCCAAAATGACAATTAAGTGAATTTTGTCCCATTTTACGACCTTTCTTGCCACAGCTGTTAAGTGCATCACTGCAGTTAAGTTAGTAACATGGTTATTAAGTGAATCTGGCTTCCCCACTGACTTTGCTTGTCAGAAGGTTACAAAAGGTGATCACATGACCCTAGGACACTGAAAACATCATCACATATATGCCAGTTGCCAAGCATCTGAATTTTGATTATGTGACCATGGGGATGCTGCAACGGTCGTAAGGTTGAAAAATGGTCATAAGTCACTTTCTTCACTGCTGTTGTAATTTCAAACAGTCACAAAACGAACTGTTGTAAATCGAGGACTAACTACAGTCACCTTGCCTGTCTGGCAGAAAAATAGAATATAAATGCAGTGGAGAGTCAATAATATAAATAATAAGATCTCTGGCCCACAGAAACTAGCCCACTTAGATCTGTGTCTCATAATCTGAATAAGTTCACAACTCACAAATAGATCCTTTTAATTTACAAGCTCCCAGAGGGAGTGGAGCCTAAGCAGTGCCATTGGGCCTCACAGCTTCTGCATTTGCCTCAGTAGGCGAACTCAGGCTGCCTGCTAGCCCAGCCACAGCCGAAAACATGGTTGCTTCCCCCTCAAGACAGATGGCAAGTTCAACTTCCTCAAAAGTCAGCAGGCCTGGCAGTTTCGGATTGTCTGATCAGAAAGACATCAGTTTGGCCATCTTCTTCTCATGATGTGGGCCTTCATTAAGAGCCTTTCTCCATAGTCCGATTAGAAAAGAGCAGTCTAAATTATCCACAGGAACCTTCCCATAATCTCATGCCTCTAGATGGGTTGGGACTACAGTTCTCATCATCCCCAGGCAACTGGTTGAGTGTTTTCCTATTTAACAACTCCGTGCATCTGAAGACTACCAAACTTGGGAAGGGTGATTTCGGAAAACAATGTGGTGCCATCCAGATGTCAAAATTACAAGACCAGGGGTCTTTGGTGCTCTCTGAGCTTGTTGTTTTCTTGCAGATATTTCACTACCCAAACTAGGTAACATCTTCAGTGCACTTCAACCATTTAAACCCTGAGCTACAAATATTCTCCTTTATCGGTAATTATGAGACCACCTTCTGCCATGCTGGTGGAAGCCCAGGTTTCCTCAGAACTAATAAACATGATGCAACCAATAAATTACAATAAGTCTCATTAGAATCAGGGTAAACATTTCCTCCAGCCTACTGGAGTTAAGCTCATTTTCCCCTACTCTTTCCACTAGCTCAGGGGTAGGCAACCTTGGCTCTTTTATGACTCGTGGACTTCAACTCCCAGAATTCCTGAGCCAGCCACGCTGAGGGGAAAGGGAGAGGTTTCCAAGCTGAGCCATGCTGGCTCAGGAATTCTGGGAGTTGAAGTCCACGAGTCATAAAAGAGCCAAGGTTGCCTACTCTTTCCACTAGCTAGAACCACCAAATCATTCTGAAATTGAAATTTTTTGAAAGGGGAAGCAACAACCTTACCATGGGGTCTTGTACTTTGTTTAGCTGGTGAGCCTGCACACACAGTTCTAATTTTTAATTAGTTAGAAAGAGGAAAGGGAAAGAAAAAAAATCCCAAACCCACACATTCATTTTCACAGCCATCATCATATTCTTTTAACAAATCTCCTTGGTGTTATGAACTATTTTAGATAATAGCCACCAGCATCCCCCCAGCCAGCCTGGCTAATACTTGTAGAGACATAGGCCAACATATCTCAAGGCAATTATAATTTTTCCTTGCACACCCTCTCCTTGCTGGATGCTGGGGAGCTTGCTGCCATTTAAAAAAAATAACCTTTATTTTTACGATTAACATTGTTGAGAAATGTAAGATTCTGCACTTATGCCAGACAAACCAGATGCACAGGCACAAGGTAGGTGATACCTGACTTAGCACTAGTACTTGTGGATCTGGTAAACCACAGACTAAGGATGAGCCAGCAATGTGCAGCTGCTGCCAAAAGGGCCAATGCCTCAATAGAAGCTTAGTGTTAAGTTCATGAGAAGTGACAGCACCACTTTATGCTGTTTTTGGTCAGATCACACCTGGAATCCTGTGTCCAGCTCAGGTCACCACAATGGAAGGAGGATGCTGAGGAATTGGAAACAAGGTAGAAAGAAAGATGGTAAGGAGCTTGGAGGCTAAATCTTATGAAAAGAGATCGAAAGAATTTGCTATTTCAGCTAGAAAAGAGAAGGCTGACAGGGAGACCTGACAGCAGCCTTCCAATACCTGAAGGGCTGTTCCAGGAAAGAAGGTCGAGATTTATTCCTGTAAGTCAGGGGTCTCCAAACTTGTAGACTTTAAGACTTGTGGACTTCAACTCCCAGAATTCCCCAGTCAGCTGAGGAATTCTGGGAGTTGAAGCCCACAAGTCTTAAAGTTGCCAAATCTCTCTCTCTCTCTCTCTCTCTCTCTCTCTCTCTCTCTCTCTCTCTCTCTCTCTCTCTCTCTCTC